GAGATTATCCTAAGTAAAGATTATGTAGTTTAAGCGTGATTGTTCGTAGTTAAAGTGATTAATTACCTGCCTGGCACTTAGTTAAGGGGTTTTATTCCCTTCCTTAGTCCTGTTAATCCCTAACTCCAGGGAAAAAATCCCCACCTGGGGAAATAACCTTTCTCAGAGAGGTGACCTTGGTTAAAACACATAGCGCTAAGAAGGGGAGCAAACATATTAAGAACGGTATGCCATATACACCAGGTCCCTTGAAACATATGCTGTGCAGATGTTTCTTCCCTGCAGTGACTGTGTCAAGCAGCAAGGATGGACCGGCTTCCTGCAAACAAGTATTGGAAAGGTTGTGGAAAAAAGGGAACTCTCATTCACTGCTGGTGGGAATGTAGACTGGTACAATCACTATGGAAAGCAGTCTGGCGTTTACTGAAAAAACTGAGAATAGAGCTATCATATGACCCAGCAATCCCTCTTCTGGGTATATACCCGAAAAACTAGAAATCAAGTATTCACAAAGATATATCCACCCCTATGTTCATTGCAGCATTATTCATGGTGGTGAAGACAGGGAAACAACCAAAATGTCTTGCATAGTGCTTGCTTCTGCAACACATATACTAAAATTGGAACAATACAGAGGAGATTAGCATGGCCCCTGCACAAGGATGATATCCAAATTCATAAAACATTCCATATTTAATTAAAAAAAAATCCTGTTATAGAGAACTGGATAAAGAGTTTATGGTACAATATACACAATGGAATACTTCTCAGCCATAAGAAAGGATGAAATACTGCCATTTGCAACAACATGGATGGACCTTGGGAATATTGTGCTAAGTGAAATAAGTCAGTCAGAAAATGCTAAGAACCATATGATTTCATTCATGTGGAATATAAAACTGAAACTTGTGAACACAAACAGTGTGGTGGTTGCCAGAGGAAGTGGGGAGGAAGGGGGTCCTAATATTTGGTGATGGGAGAAATTTTTACTTTGATGGTGCAATATACAGGTCTCATAACATAGAAACCCACACCTGAAACCTATATGGTCATGTCCAATATCACTCCAATAAATTTAATTTAAAAATCTATTCAAGTTCTCTAGTGTTCCTTCTGTAGTAATTCGGAAATGTGACTGCTTGCCTTAAGAGGAAAACTTTAAAGCCTTTGTTAGAGGAAGACTCCATGAAGGGTTGAATTGCTGTTTGAAAAATCCAGGCTAGACTGATATCCTTGCCTCTTTTTATATTGGCTATCTTCCTGTTCTTTGACCTCCATGTGACCTATAGATATTTGGGTTCATAGATAAAAGTGGAGGGAACCAAACCCACAAGGTTGGAACTTCGCAGTTACTTTTCTCATATTTGGAAGGAGCTTCTCTTCTGGCTTTGCAGGTTGTGGGGACTCGCAGCATTAGCCATTTTTTTACGGAAGAAAATATTCTTTGTTAGGAATTTTTTTCTAATTGAGAGGAGCTGAACTTCTTTGTATGCATCATTCAGGAATTATCCCAGCTTTCTGCTCCTTTAGCAGTTCATCCCTTCCATTCCATCATGGGATTCTTCCCTTGGGAAGGCAGTCAGCCAAATTAATCCTATATAGTAGTCCTATATAATAAAAGGCTAATATGCAAATAGACCAAACAGGGGAACAACTGAACACTCAGTTGCTATGACATGCGCTGACCACCAGGTAGTGCGCGGAACATAGCGGGTGTTGGCTGTGGCAGCATGGTGGAGCAGGTGAGCAGGGGCACCTGAACAAGGCAGGGCACCAGTCGCTTCATCGGGGTGAGCCTCTGGTGGTTACTGAAAATTCTTTGCTCCCACATGCTGCAGACCCACCCTGCACTCACACCTGCTGCTGGCGCCAGAGCTTCCGCTCACACCCACTGTCTGCACTACTGCTGGCACCCACTGCCGGTGCCCAGCGCTGGTCCCGATCGGCGCCATTAGCGGGTTCGAGTGACTTCTCCACCTCCCCCTGCTCCTGAGGCAGCAGCTACTGCTTGCATCCACTGATGGTGTTGGCCCCACTAGCACCTGCTGCTCACGCCGGCCCCAATTGCTCTGTGCTGTGAGCAGGGCTGGCACTGTCAGCGCATGGGAGTGGCGGCGGCGGGAGCGGGTCTGCCAGCAGACAAGAGGGACTGGGCGGGGGCATGGAGGGTGGGCTGAGACGCGTCCCTGTGCCCACCACAGCCTCGCAGCCCACAGTTCCTTTCAAGGTGCACGAATTCATGCAGTGGGCCCCTAGTTGATGTATAAAAGCCAAATTAACTAATCTGTTGTTATATAATTTTTAGCAATTGTATATTTTGTTTTGTAATGGTATAGACTACTTGCCTTGTTTTTAAAATTTTATCTTTTATCTTCAACTGAGGATATATTTATTGATATTTTGAGAGAGAGAGATACATCAGTATGAAAGAGAAACATTGATTGATTTCCTCCCATAGGCGCCCCTATCAGGGATTGAGCCCACAACCTAGATATGTGCACTGACCAGAATTAAACCCGCAATTTATTAGTGTACAGGACGATGCTTCAACCAACTGAGCCACCTGGCCAAGGCTAATTTTCTTTAAATGCATAATACTTATTCTCATTCCCTTCTACTATTATTCTTGTTTTAATTTCTTTCTTTTCCTCTTAAAGTACTTATATTCTAGCTATTGTAAATGACTTAGTCTAAGCTCATCTTTTTAGGAAGCCCTTAACCTACAGCAATACAGAGTGCCCAAAAGTCAGTCTATTCTACACCATAAAATTAATCACTTATTTCCTTAGACAGTATCTGAGTATCAGTTACCAATAGAAAAGGAAAAGGTCATATCTTAAACTATTGTATTTTCCACATTTCCTAACACAGTTAAAAGTGATAGGCATTCAATATTTTTGCCAGTTGAGAGTAAGTAAGCATTTTGTAGATTCTTGAAGATCTTCAATCTAAAGAAAATGTGAACTCTTTAAGAAATATTTAGGGTAATAAGTATTATAATCTAATGAAAACGTAAGCTAAATTTTACAGAGCTACTAATTTCTTGGAAATCTGGTTATAGTCTTAGTAATGAAAAAGAAAATGATCTTGTTCTGGATTGAATAGGAATGGGAAGAGGACAATGTGTAAATATGTAATCTCTTTCATTTAATTGAGATAAAAGAACTTTTGCTCCTAATACTATGTTTATATTTATTATTTACCCTTATGTAAAATTAAAAGGCTTATATTCATTGAGTTACACACTGTCAGTCCAACTCTGAATCTGAAAGTTCTGAATATAAATGTATATTCAAACTTTTAAAATTAACATGTAATTTTTATCACAATTATAGGGGGGAAATTCAGCAAGTCAGTATAAGGGATTATGGATAATGACTATCACATTTAGGAAACTTGAATTTATCCATGAAAAAAAGGCATTTGTAGCTCTTTATTTAGTTTCTTGGTTCTGACTCTAGAGGTTAAGGGCTAAAAGCCATTCAGGGATTTATTGTGCAACTATTTGGGGCATCTGTCTGGGATGCAAAGAAATGTCAGTTATCTAGCATGTACTTGGATAAATTTTCACTTATATTTTAATATTTTTTAAAAAGTAAGAAAAACACTTAAAATTAAGAAAAACTTAAGAAATTAATAGTGGGGTAATTAGTGTTCTACAGTACCCACTAGAGAAGAATGGTACCAGAAGTACCATGATTTTCAATAATGTGATTATGACTAAAACTTTTTGGAGATGGTGGCAATTCACTATAATTATAAAGGAATGAAAGAAGAGTCAGAGAATAACAGAGACCTAAGTTCATTCCAAAAGTGTTGGAATCAGTGTCAGAGGTGAAAGGGACCTAATTTTATAGTATGGAGCAGGGGTCCTCAAACTACGGCCCGCGGGCCACATGCAAATACAAATATTGTATTTGTTCCCATTTTGTTTTTTTACTTCAAAATAAGATATGTGCAGTGTGCATAGGAATTTGTTCATAGTTTTGTTTTTTTTTAAATATAGTCCGGCCCTCCAATGGTCTGAGGGACAGTGAACTGGCCCCCTGTTTAAAAAGTTGGAGGACCCCTGGTATGGAGTCTGCAGAAACAAAATGCCTTACCCAGTGACATACTAGTTTAGTAGCACACCTGGGATTTTTGCCTGCTCTCCTAAACCCTTTCTAATCAAGTCCAATGCCCATCTTATTTATTCTTTTAAAAATTTTTTCGCTTATTGATTTTAGAGAGGAAGGGAAAGAGACAGACAGACATTAATTTGTTGTTCCACTTATGCATTCATTGGTTGATTCTTGTATGTGCCCTGACGAGGTTGGAACCTGTAACCTTGCGCATTGGGACAACGCTCTAACCCACTGAGCTACCCGGCCAGGTCCCTCATCTTATTTATTTATTTTAAATATATTTTTATTGATTTCAGAGAGGAAGGGAGAGGGAGCGAGAGATAGAAACATCAATGATGAGAGAGACTCATCAATTAGCGGCCTCCTGCATCCCCCTTACGGGGGACTAAGCCTGCAATCCGGACATGTCCACTGACTGGGAATCGAACCTTGACCTCCTGGTTTATAGTTGATGCTCATCCACTGAGCCACACCAGCCAAGAAAAAGAGAAACTTTGATTGGTTGCCTCCCAGACTTGCCTTGACCAGGGATTAAACCTGTAACCTCAGTTGTGCCCTGACCGAGAATTGAACTCACAACAATTTTGGTGTGCCGGATGATGCTCCAATCAACTGAGCCACCCAGCCAGAGCTTGTTTCTTTTCACCCAAAAGCCTCACATCTTGCAGATTTTTTTTTTTTTTTACATCTTACAGATTTTTAAAAAAGAAATAGATAAGTATTTAATAGTTATATATAGATTTATATGTTGATATAAATTGAGTATATAAGCCTAAGTATTAAGTGACTGTACCCTAGTTCAAGACATCAGAATCTATGGCTTATAGAGCAACAGGTAGCTTATACTAACTCTACTTTTCTTTCAATGTATTATAGTTGAAGCTTCCTGTCATAATGGAGATGAAACAATTGAAACTATTGAGGCTGCTGAGGCACTCCTCAATATGGATTCTCCTGACCCTATGCTGGATGAAAAACGAATAAGTGAGTGGTGATGTGTTATGGTTGTTCATGTTTATAAACTTTGACAAGTTATTCTTGCTATCTCTATTAGGTGAAAAATATTTTTAAAAAAACAGAGACCATGCTTTATACTTTTTCTGTCCCAAGGACATTTTAAGGTAAAGCACTAGTTGAGGCACCTTTGCAGAAGTGTGCAATTAAACAAGACTTTTTTCTTTTAATTTGGGAAGTAAGGCCTTTAGGAATAAAAAGTAATTTATGTAGTTGTGAAATAGCAGATTATGCAGAATTTCTTCTCTTAACCTCATTGGTGAAAGTATTAGGAAGTTTAGGATCCAAGCTATTATTATTTATTGATCTCTATAGATATTTATTAGTGAATAGGCAAACATCCATTGAAAAGTTTTCTAACACTTCATGGCATAAAATTCATTACCGCATTTGGTCTGCTTTTATTTATTTATTGTGGGGGAAGCAAGGGAAAAAGTAAAGTGAGTTTATGTGGAAAGCCAGCAAGCAAAGAAGATGGCGGACTAGGGTCCTAAAGAACCAACTTGAGAAAGTGCTGAATTTGGCTTCTTTTATTTCAAGGGAAGGGGAAAATCAAGGGGTGACTAATGACCACAGACATCAGGATGTCAGCAAGGGTCCGGGGGGAGTGGTGAAACTTCAAATTCCGGTTGCCGAGTTCACCTTCAGAGGTTCCTATAAATCTGTTTTCTCAGCCAAGTTCTCCATCTGCCCCATTTTATGTCGCCACCTCTGCCACTCGACGTTCTCTATGGTGTGTGGGTGGGCACCATCCCACCACAAACAGTCTGATCTATCTGCTTTTAAATTCATCTTCTCTTGGGCTTTTCTGACAAGAAAGTACTTAAATTCAAAACTATTAACACTAAATCAATTCAAGATGTTTACTGGATATTCTCTATGCACACCAGTGCATTAGACAATAGTGTTTATACAAATGAACAGATATTGCCTCTTTCCTCAGTCTTACAATTTAATTTTGAAAACAGTTATTTATGTAAGTAACTACAAAAAACAAAAATAAAAGTCATGAGAGAGAGAAAACAATGTTTTCTGAAAGGAGAGAGAACTCTAGCTGACAACTCCATAGAAAGGCTTTATGGATGGAGAGTTTTGACCTTGGCTGTAAAAGACAAATAAGCTTTTAAAGGGTAGAGGAAACAGGAAAGGGTATTCAAAGTAGAAGGAGTGGGTTGAACCAAACACACAGACCTATAAGAAAGAATCAGATGTAGATAAAAATGTTTTGGTATAGCTGAAGTGGAGATAAATTGGAAAGGTAGACTGTGGGAAGCTTCACACGGCATGCTGTGTCAATTTTCTTTTTAATTTTTGGTGTAAAGTTTTTATAGAGAAGAAGAATATGGTGAGATCAGACTTGGGTTTCAGAAGATAACTTTAATAGCACTGTGAAGAGTGGAAAAGAGAAGCGAGAGAGATTGGTGATAGGAAGTCAAGTAAGGGAGATATTGAAATAGTTTTGTCAAGCCTGTACTGGTGTAGGATATCTGATTTCAGGCAGAGGAAATAAAAAGCAGGGAATAGATTTAAAGATTTCATTTCTATTTTATTCTTTATAGAAACAGAAAATTATTTTATGAAATTATTTTGATCTGTAATACAAAGTTGATGATAATTTATTTCCATTAGATAATAATATTTTTAGTTCATCTGAAGATGACATTGTTGTTGCCCCAATCACCCATGTATCCGTCACATTAGATGGGATTCCTGAAGTGATGGAAACTCAGCAGGTTCAAGAGACATATGCACACTCACCAGGAGCCTCCTCACCAGAACAACCTAAGAGAAAGAAAGGTGAGTGGTTAATTTGTTTGGGGAAACAATAAAGTCTTGATGTGGAATCTAAATATAATGTTTGTTTAAGGATACTTCTAAACCAATTAAAACTTACATAAGAAATTGAGGGTACTAAATATAAACTAAGAGGTATTTCTTCACATTAGATTTCTTTTGTAAAAAGTTAGATTATTTTATACATTTAAAATATTTGGTCTATCTCACAGAAAAGCCTCAATCTTTTATCTAAACCCCCTTTCCCTCACTCAGAAAGAGCTTGGAGATAGGGGCAGGTCAGCTTACTCCCATAGGACATAGTTTGGAAACCACCAGCATAAATTCCAATATAAGATTTCAATGGGAAAAATACGAGTTGGACATCAGCAGGTAAGTAATTGAAGAAGAAAATGTTAGAATGTGTTAAAGGGAATTTTTAACTTTAGGACCATTCTTACATTTTAAAGTCTAACACTCTTTCCATTTTATTTCATTCTTGATTCTGCTCCAATTTGTTTCATATTTTAAGTTTAATATCTCGGTTAATGGCATCACTACCAGCTACCAAGTAACCTAACTTCACGAAAAAGAAGGAAAAATTCCTAGAGACAAAAATGAAGAGGAACCCGGCTGGTTCAGTGGTTGAGTGTCTACCTATGAACCAGGAGGTCATGGTTCAATTCCCGGTCAGGGCACATGTCTGGGTTGTGGGCTTGATCCCCAGTGGGGGGCATGTAGGAGCCAGCGGATCACTGATTCTCTCTCAGCATTGATGTTTTTATCTCTCCCTCTCCCTTTCTCTCTGAAATCAATTTATTTTAAAAAATTACATTTATTTTTTTTTTAAATTAAGAGGAAAATGAAAACAGTAAGAATGAGCTAGCACTGCCACGGCTGTAAAGGGCTGAGAAGGACATGTCAGTCTTGATATTTAGGTGGATTGGGTTTTATTGCCCTTGTAGAGGCAGATGCTTAAGTCTTGGTCCAATGCAAGATGGGTCTGGGACAGAGACCTCAGGATGTAATTGGGGTCCTTGAAAGCCTATACCCTCAAGAGAAAAACAATATGCCCATTGGCACAGACAGATATCAAGGAAGCTATGGCTCTGAGTGAAGAAATTCTTCCTTCGAAAATTCATAATCCTAGGCTTGCCTTAACCTAAGTTTACTATTAGACTAGAGGCCTGGTGCATGAAATCCATGCACAGGTAGGGTCCCTAGGCCTGGCTGGCGATCATGTTCCCCGCCTCCTCCTTCCCTTGCTCCCTCAGCGCCCCGCAGCTTCAGCTGGTCACCTTCCATATTCTGCGCCTCCCCCTGGTGGTCAGCACATGTCACTGCAAGCAATTGAACACCCGGTCAAACTCCCAAGGGGACACTTTGCATATTAGCCTTTTATATATATAGGGTTTAAGCTATCAATATCTTTAGGATTTCCCAAACAAGTAAATTACATAAAAGTGACCCAGGCTAGCAATAACTTTGGGACTGCTGGGGTCCAGCCCCAGCAGGTCCAGGGGTTCCCCATAGGTGAGGACTGAGTCGGCGAAGAGGTTCTGCTTAGGATCTCCAGCCAGGTTCTGTGTCCATGTTCTCTTGCTAGGTTCTCCAGGTTCTCCAGCCAGGTTCTGTAGCCAAGTTCCCTCGCTAGGTTCTCCAGCCAGGTTCTGTCCAGGTTCTCCAGCCAGGTTCAGTTACCAGGTTCTAGTCAGGTTCTCTTGCCAATTTCTATAGTCAGGTTCAGTCCAGGATCTTTTGCCATGTTCTCTCGCTAGGTTCTGTCTCTAGGTTCTGAGGCCAGTTTCTGTCCAGGATCTTTTGCCATGTTCTCTCCAGCGAAGTTCTTCTGTCTCTAGAGAACGTTCTGTGTAGGTTCTGTGCCTAGGTTCTGTCTCTCTTGGTTCTGTCTTCTAAGTTCTGTGATCTAAGTTCTGTGTTCTAAGTTCTGTGTTCCAAGTTCTGTGTTCTAAGTTCTGTGTGTTACATCTGTATTTATACCAGTTGATTCCAATCCTGTCAATCTCTATTCCAAAGGTTAGGGCGTTTCTTATCTCCATTCCAGGGAGTAAAGATTATGTAGCTTAAGCATGATTGTTCGTAGTTAAAGTGATTAATTACCCACCTGGCACTTAGTTAAGAGGTTTTATTCCCTCCCTAACTTCAGGGGAAAATCCCTACCTGGGGAAACAACCTTTCTCAGAGACCTTGGTTAAAACACATAGTGCCAAGAAGGTGAGCAATCATATTAAGAACAGTATGCCATATATGCCAGGTCCCTTGAAACAGCAAGGATGGACCGGCTCCCGGCATGGGACATCAGACAGAAGCTCTTGTAAAATTGTTCTGGCAAATCATGCATTTAAACCAGGCTGCATGGGATTTCCTCAAATAAAACCCTGTTGAGCACTGACTGGTGTGCTTCAGGGGTTAAAGGATCAGCCCTTGCACTGAAGGGTGGTGGGTTCAAATCCCAGTCAAAGGTGCGTACCTGGGTTCCAGGTTTGATCCCCGCTCCCAGTTGGGGCACGTGCAGGAGGCAACCAATCCATGTCTGTCTGTCTGTCTGTCTCTCTCTCTCTCTTTCTCTCTCTCCCCTCCTTCCTCTCTAAAAAAAAGTCAATTAAAAAAATTCTAACCCCACCAGAGTGGCTCAGTGGTTGACCATCAATTCATAAACCAGGAGGTCACAGTTGGATTCCCAGTTAGAGCACATGCCCAGGTTGCTGGCTCCATCCCCAGTCAGAAGCATGCAGGAGGCAACTGATCATTGATTCTGTCATCATTGATGTTTCTATCTCTCTCTTCCTCTCCCTTCCTCTCTGAAATCAAGAAAAGCATTTTAAAAAGAAAGAAAATGGTATCTATCAGAAAAATACACACAGGTAAATAGGAAACATAAAATGAGTGATAGGGATAGGAGCTAACAGAATTCTTGGCTTCTAATACTTGTTATCATTAACACAATCAGCCATAAGTGTCTGCCTCATGAATGGGTTCTCTGCAGATGTCTGCAGTGATTGAAGTCGAGACACCTGGCTGACTAGGTTCCACATTTATACATTTGGTAGTTTTAAAAGGGTCCCGAAGAGTGACATTTTTGACCCTCTTCTCTCTGACTTATGTTCACCCTTGAGAGAGTCAGCCTCAAGAATGCTGGAGTAAGATGTACTAACTAAAGTATCTAATTATGCTTGATCTTTATTGTTACTCATATACTGAATGAGACAGCTTGATCATTTCCACCTAAATCACAGGCAACATTGCCAGCCAATTGTGATTCAAGATAAGTGGCAAAAGAGGATTACAAGAAGGCTTTAGGGTAGTTGGTTGATCCAGACTAAAGCTGCACAAAATACAGTTTAATACTACTCTTGGAATGGACATGTTTAGGCATTGGATAATGGATAACTATAAAGTCTGGACAACTAGGAGGAAAGAGAAACGCATACGGACACACAGAGGAGGCACAGTGCTGAAGTCAAATTCTGAGGTGCGGAGTGCACGGAGTGGGCTGGCAGCGGAGGGCGCGGTTGGCGTTTTCAATCGGGAGGGAGTCGCAGACTCTGAGCTCCAGATATGGGCGAGTCTTTAGGGACCCAGACTCAAACGGGAGAAGCGGGACTGTCTGGCTTCGGTCAGAGCGAGTGCAGCTTTCTCTCCAAGGTTTGCAGCGGTTGCTGGGACTCAGAGAGGCAGAGCCCCTGGGGACAGGACTGAGAGCCGCCATAACTGCTCTCTCCGGCCCACCCTGTTGATCCTGTGCGACCCGCCCAAGCCCTGCACAGAGGCATTTGCCGGATAGCCTCAGGCAAAGGCTAGATTAGCACCTCCCTAGAGGACAGAAGTTCTCTCACTGCAGACACAGCTGATTCTCACAGCCACTTGGCCTGGAGGTCAAACCCTCCCTGGTATTAGCTACAACAATCAAGGCTTAACTACAAGACTGTGCACAAAGACCACTAGGGGGTGCACCAAGAAAGCATAACAAAATGCGGAGACAAAGAAACAGGACAAAATTGTCAATGGAAGATATAGAGTTCAGAACCACACTTTTAAGGTCTCTCAAGAACTGTTTAGAAGCCGCCGATAAACTTAATGAGATCTACAAGAAAACTAATGAGACCCTCGATGTTATGATGGGGAACCAACTAGAAATTAAGCATACACGGACTGAAATAACGAATATTATACAGACTCCCGACAGCAGACCAGAGGAGCGCAAGAATCAAGTCAATGATTTGAAATGCAAGGAAGCAAAAAACACCCAACCGGAGGGGCGGAATGAAAAAAGAATCCAAAAATGCGAGGATAGTGTAAGGAGCCTCTGGGACAGCTTCAAGCGTACCAACATCAGAATTATAGGGGTGCCAGAAGATGAGAGAGAGCAAGATATTGAAAACCTATTTGAAGAAATAATGACAGAAAACTTCCCCCACCTGGTGAAAGAAATGGACTTACAGGTTCAAGAAGCGTGGAGAACCCCAAACAAAAGGAATCCAAAGAGGACCACACCAAGACACATCATAATTAAAATGCCAAGAGCAAAAGACAAAGAGAGAATCTTAAAAGCAGCAAGAGAAAGAAACTCAGTTACCTACAAGGGGATACCCATACGACTGTCAGCTGATTTCTCAACAGAAACTTTGCAGGCCAGAAGGGAGGGGCAAGAAATATTCAAAGTGATGAATACCAAGAACCTACAACCAAGATTACTTTACCCAGCAAAGCTATCATTCAGAATTGAAGGTCAGATAAAGAGCTTCACAGATAAGGAAAAGCTTAAGGAGTTCATCACCACCAAACCAGGATTATATGAAATGCTGAAAGGTATCCTTTAAGAAGAGGAAGAGGAAGAAAAAGGTAAAGATACAAATTATGAACAACAAATATGCATCTATCAACAAGTGAATCTAAGAATCAAGTGAATAAATAATCTGATGAACAGAATGAACTGTTGATTATAATAGAATCAGGGACATAGAAAGGGAATGGACTGACTATTCCTGGGGGGGAAAGGGGTGTGGGAGATGCGGGAAGAGACTGGACAAAAATCGTGCACCTATGGATGAGGACAGTGGGTGGGAGTGAGGGTGGAGGGTGGGGCGGGAACTGGGAGGAGGGGAGTTATGGGGGGAGAAAAGAGGAACAAATGTAATAATCTGAACAATAAAGATTTAATTAAAAAAAATAAAATAAGAATAAAAAGTAAAAAAAAATAAAAATAATGTCTGTTTGCTGTAAACAGAAATATGTAGAAAAATGAGATGTTTAAAAATACATAGGAAAATAAAAAATTTACTGTGGTTCACCAAAATTTTGCTTCATTTATTTTTTATATCTAGAGTTTGGGGAAGTTTCCAATTTGAGAACTAACTTTGCAGAACTAACAAAGCTACTTGTCATAAATATATCAAATGGACCCAGCAATACATTTAAAAGAGAGAAAAGCTAAAAATCTGCTTTTTCTACCTTAAAAAACTTAGAAACCTATATGGATTTTTTTAGCTCAAGTTTTATCAGAATCAAGAATTTCCCCTTGAATTTTAAGAAAGCACTGTCAGTATTGTCAACTCAAAGATAAGATGCAGTATTTTTAACTTAACCTTATGTTTACAAATGAGACAAAATATCATTTTCAATGTATTTGTGATCTAACCTACATTAAAGTTGTTTTTACTCAAATTATTTTTTTAGTAAATAGCACTTAAAGAAACCAATATATGTGATCTGTGTATAAAGTGGCACTTAAAATTTAGGATAAAGGACAAAACAGCATTTATAGCTAAATTGTCCACTCCCACTTCTGAGGGTAGATATTTATGCAGAGCTGTTCTGCTTTCAGGGAGAAAAACTAAACCACCACGACCAGATTCTCCAGCCACTACACCAAACATATCTGTGAAGAAGAAAAACAAAGATGGGAAGGGTAAGTACTATTGTAATTTTCCTATAATACTTATGGGTCAAATAACATTCAGATTGCTTTAAAATGTCTGCATATTGTAAGCAGAAACTACCAACTTTCTTAACATATTAAAATGGATCTTATTGCTGTCACATGCTTATGAGATACAGTTGCCATTTTCTGTAAAGAGCATGGTTAATAATGTAGCCCAAAAATCCCTTTTAAAAGATGTTCACTCACCTGTCCAAATAATCCATTCATTCATATAATAATGAGTCTTTTGGAAGAGTTCAGCCAGGTTAGGTTTTCAGTTTATAGACATTTTATTACATTGTATTGGGGTTCTAGTATTTTAATAACTGCTTCCACATTTGAAGAAAAAATCATCCCAAAGTGCTTTCTCCCTAAGCCATGTCAAATCTAATTGGCAAGATTGCTCTGTTGAGATACCTTATGTGGGGCCAATAAAAAAATATCTGTATTAGGCCCCAAAATTGTAATTGTTATATTATCAATACTAATGAATTACGTATTTGTATAATTACAGATGGAACTTTTAGTTGTGTTTTGTTGTGCACTTTCAAATGAAATTTTGGTCAAAGAAATCGCTTTTGTTTCAGGAAACACAATTTATCTTTGGGAGTTTTTACTGGCACTGCTCCAGGACAAAGCTACTTGTCCTAAATATATCAAATGGACCCAGAGAGAAAAAGGCATTTTTAAATTGGTAGATTCTAAAGCAGTATCCAGGTTGTGGGGGAAGCACAAAAATAAACCTGATATGAATTACGAGACCATGGGAAGAGCTCTCAGGTATGTGAAGTTTTTGTAGTTTATTGTGTTAAGAATATAATTTTCTAAATACTAAAAAAATAGATAACTTTTAAAAAGTTAAAGAATTTAAAAAATGGTGAATCTTATTTATTGAAGTGCTAAAACCACACTGATTATAGAATCAGTGTGCATATAAATTGAAATCTTATTTCAATCTGGGAAAATGTTTGCCTTCCAAAAAAAGATCTTCATGCAAACAACAGATATTTTATTTATAAAGGGATCAGAAAATGTTAAACTATTATCACATATTATAAATTGACCACAGGCCAGACCTATTTTGAGCCATTAAACTTAAATTCAGCACAAAATACAAATAGTGGTGATGTAGGAAGTTAGTAAGGGGTGCATTTTTAAATGTAAACCTCAGGTATGATTTGTAATATCTGAAGATAGAATAAATCTTTGCTTTAAGGATAAGATTAGACAAAATTTTCAACTAGGGTATAATATTATCCTTTAACTCACTTTAGTTTCTCTTTGGTCTTATAATTTATTCTTCAACATATACATGTATTTGAGAAAAATTTATTAAAAAAGCATGATGTGATCATTTGATAACCTTAAACTACAACTGTGTGTTTAATTACAGGTTTTTTTTTTTTTAACACACTTTTGCTTACTAATCTAATTTAAATTATTGACAAAATTTGAATCCCTTCTATTTGTGCATCATTAAATTTTATATAGAAAACTGAATTAAGTTTACCAAATCAGATTTAAACTGGTAGGGATGTTACAGGAAACTATGGAAGGGAAATAGTTTCTTGGGTTTGGTACTAGATTGAATTATTCCAGCAAGTTAACAGAAAGGTAGAGGAAGGAAGAAAAGTGAAGGCTAGAATAATCCATATACTTTATTAACAATCCCCTAATTAAAATTGCTTTTAGATTCAGTTGGTAATAAGGACTTTTCTCTCTGTGAGTAAATGTGTGTTTTACATATATTTAGAAAATGTTTTTAATTACACTATCTTATATAAAACAGTTGCTCTTCATTTAGAAATTCTTTTCTCTTGTTTGTTTCCAACTTTAAACTTCATAATTATAAAATTCTTATTTTGGTGAATATTATTCTCATTTATATTTAATTGAATGAAATATTGATGGAATTGTTTGCTTTGAATAGGTACTATTATCAAAGGGGTATTCTGGCAAAAGTAGAAGGCCAGCGCTTGGTGTATCAGTTTAAGGAAATGCCAAAAGATCTTATTTATATAGATGATGAGGATCCGAGTTCCAGCATAGAATCTTCAGATCCATCACTGTCAGCAACAACCACTTCAAGCAGGAACCAAGCAGGCCGATCAAGAGTATCTTCAAGTCCGGGGATAAAAGGAGGAGCCACTACAGTTCTAAAACCAGGGAATTCTAAAGCTACTAAAACCAAAGATCCTGTGGAAGTTGCACAGCCATCAGAAGTTCTGAGGACAGTGCAGCCCACACAGTCTGCATATCCTACCCAGCTCTTCCGGACTGTTCATGTAGTGCAGCCAGTACAAGCTGTCCCAGAAGGAGAAGCGGCCATAATTAGTTGTGTGCAAGATGAAACATTAAATTCTTCAGTTCAGAGTATTAGGTGAGAAAACGAAAATTTACCAGTGTGTATTATTATGTGATGTTCCTGATCCAGAGCCATTATTTATTAAGTGGGTCTTAAAAATGATACAGATTTCAAGCTAGAATGTTTGGTCAGCAGATTGTATCAGACTTGATTGTATCAATGTTTCCTTTATTTTTACACTTTGACATTACTTGATGTTATTCTATCAATTTAAGTCTAGTCTACTATACCCTTTTATAACTGGATTAATTTATATGATAAGGGATCCACATATAAGAAAACCAGAGAATAGTTTCAGATCTATTTTCAGAGTCAGAAGCTGCAAAAATTCAACAAAAATGGACATATCATGACCTTTTGGAATGCATTGAGTTCCAAGATATAAACATTATTCCTTCGGAAAATCCTATTATGGAACAGTTAGTTCCAAAGTTCCAATAGGTAGAAAGACCAAGAAGCTAAGGTCCTCTTTTTCAGGCTTCCAGAGTGGCAGAAGTTAGCTTAATCAAATCAAATTTGCTTCATAGTCTCAGGAAAGATATGAAACAACAGATTGACTAAGAAAACCCTATCTGCTTCAGAGTGATCTTTTGCAGACATTTGGGGCTTGTCTTGTCTGATTTAGAATGGGGGAAATGGAGAGAGGGAGAAAATTAAGGTAATACTCCATTTTTCTCTGTCAACTTCAGTCTTATATTCCAGAATATAAATGCTGGATTTTTGTTCAATTGATCTTGAAGTAAGCAAACATTATCTAGGATCAAGATAGACTTAGGTGGTTCAGTCTTTCTTCTATGGTCCATTTAAACCTTTAACATTGTGAAAATTGAATTCTTTTAAATCTTTAGTGGACTTGCAAGGAATAAAAAGATCACTTTTTTCATTTTAATTGGACAGGAATGATACATCTCTAACTGGCATTAAAGAAGTAATTATTTAGCTCTCTATTTCCTTTTAATGTTTTATTTTCCTCCAGATCTCATTGGTTACATGGTGGACCTTGAAAATGACTTCAGGTTTTCTCACTGCGCAGAATATAGCCAAACAATGCTGTAGTTAAATATTTTACCCTTTGTTCTTCCTGCGTGATCTACAATGATAATCTGCTTTGTGTTGATATTTACTGCTGTGTTGCTGAAAATTACCTGAAAGAGAAGTTGGGGTGTTTCACTGGGCTGGAAAAAGTTTAGCTACATCAGAAAGCAGGTCTAAAGCAAGTTTATTCTGTATATTTAAAAGGCTAAGTTGACTTGCCCATGAGCGATACATATAAAGCTCTCACTGGTGCCAATCGCAAGCATGTGTTTCAGTCTGTCATTGTCAATCGTGAATTTGGTTGAAATTCTATTATAGAGAAAGGCTGAATAGTGACATCAAAATATTTCTTCTAATTAATTTCCTTTCCATGTGCATGCATCCGTGCACCAGGCCACTAGTAAGATTATAATGGAGCTGAATTTCCTGTAAGAAATGGAAAGGATATGTGGTTCAGAAGGAATTATTTTCCTCTGGTAGCAGCGATATTTGAGGAATTTGGCAACATATTCCCATCTACTCAGAGCACCTCAATTTTGAGTGTAGATTATAGTCCAGGCAGACAGCAACTGACCTTTTACAGCACAGAGGAGCCTGTGCCCACAATGCTACAACCCTCCCAAATCTAGCTTGATCATATTCAGAATACACTGCTGTAAATTCTTTGTTGAGGACCTAATATCCTGTACAAGGACACAGGTCCACAGGAGCTACCTTAACAAGTATTTAGTGTCACTGACACTTTAGAAAACACTTTTTGTAATAGTGTGGAGCCAGCCTGTACCTGTGCTCCGGAAATGTTTTCAGGTTGTAATGATGAAAAGTATAGATAGGTTTTATTTTTTTCCATCAGTTCAATGCCAGAGAGAGCTTTTTGTACCAAATAGGGTCATGGAACCTAAAACAAATTGTCAAAATCAAAATATTGAGTCATCAGTTCTACGCTCTTTCCATGTTAAACAACCTCGTGTGTGTGTGTGTGTGTGTGTGTGTGTGTGTGTGTGTGTGTGTACCACAAAGATTCTTAATCTAACCACAATAGCCAAAACCACGTTGCCATGATAATCCCCTATGTTCCTTTATCTTTTCATATTGATTTTGATTCTCGGGCCACCTTTCACTCCCTCCTGATAGTCACTATTATAGTTATCTATGCCTAACCCAGCCAATTTCTCCTCAATTTTTCCAGTCAATCCAGTCTACATCTGTGTTCATGGAGTAGCATCTACAGTTTGAGTGCTCTGTTTCTGACTCTGTTGGAAAGAAGTAGGGGAAAGGTTTGTGGGGCATTATTTATACAGTCTCAGTTGTGTTCAGTAATGTCCTAGGCCTTCACATTATTTCACCACTCACTCACCCAGAGCAACTTCTAGTCCTGTAAGCTCCACTCATGGTAAGTGTCCCATACAGATGTACCATTTTATCTATGATGCCATATTTTCACTGTACCTTTCTATGTTTAGATACACGAATACTTACCATTGTGTTCAGTTGCCTATAGTATTTAGTGTATAATAATATGCAGTATATATGTTTGTAGTCTAGGAGGAATAGGCTATACCGAAAGCCCTAAGTATGTAGTAGACTGCATCATCTAGATTTATGTCAGCAATTTTCAACCTTTTTCACCTCATGGCAAACATAAACTAATTACTAAAATTCTTCAGCACACCAAAAAATACATTTATGCTGATTTGACAAAAAAAAAAGTAATCACTTGCCCTTTTTGCTCCAAAGTGACTTTTTAAAAAAACAACCAGGTACTTATACTGGTATATAAAGATATCTGGTACCAAGAATTAACCAATCAGACACAACCTTATTATGCAACGTGACCAGTAAGATGCAGCTATAGCCTGGTCAGCGTGGCTCAGTGGTTGAGTGTGGACCTACAAACCAGGAGGTCATGGTTCAGTTACTGGTCAGGGCACATGCTTGGATTGCAGGAGGCAGCCGATCAATGATTCTCTCTCATCGTTGATGTTTCTATCTCTCTCTCCCTCTCCCTTCTCTGAAATCAATTTTATATATATATATATATATATATATATATATATATAAGTATATATATATATATATTTTAAAGATGCAACTCTATTATATGGCATATATATTTATGGTTCAAGACAGGGCATTCACACCAGAGAGCTATTGTTGTGTTAGCTGTTGTCATTTTTTTATTTGATAATCTAAGGGGACAGAGGTCAGTGTCCCTGATTAAATAGACAGGTATTGCATGTTTTAAAAACCCTTGTGGGCTCTGGCTGGGTAGCTTACCTGGTTAGAATGTTGTCCTGATATGCCAAGGTTGCAGGTTTGATCCCTGCTCAGGGCACATATGAGAAGCAAACAATGAATGTGTAAATAGTGGAACAACAAGTCAATGTTTCTTTCTCTCTTCTTTCCTCTCTCTAAAAATCAATCAATAAATAAAAAAATTAAAAAGTTATTGAGGCACACCGTGGCACATCAGTTGAAAATCTTATCTATGATGTTCACATGACAACATCGACTAATGATGCATTTCTCAGAATGTGTATCCCTGTCAAGTTTGAGGAATTTTAAAATACCAGTATCTATCCGCTGGTCATAAGAAGCTTAGATTTTTAAAAAGTAGTTAACTATAATATAACCTGTTTATTTTTATTTTTTAATTTATCTTTACTATTGAAAGTATTACATATGTTCCTCTTTTTTCCCCCCCATCAACCCCTTCTATCTTGCACTCGCCTCCGCCTCAGGCCTTCACCACACTATTGTTTTTTAAATAATATAATTTCACCAGACACAACTGACAGCTTAATCATTAACTAAGAAAAATATTAGAAATTCCTGTGGTTGAGAAAAGGTGCATAATATTTTATCCTTTAATCACTGAATTTTTTATTAGTGAAAATTGTTTTAGAATTTGCCTAAATAAACCAATATGTTTTCATTGTAGATAAGTATATTTTCTGGCAGATGGCAGTCAGGTATTTCAATATAGGAACATTTTTTTTTTCTAATATGAACAAAGTCTAGTATTAGCCCTGATTAGCAATATGGAAAATTTCCAAGTACATTATTGCTTGTGCCACACCTAACAGAGGGAAGGAGGAAGGGAAGAGGTGTGTATTAAAGTGTTATAACTGTCCACAGCCATAATAGATAAAATAGTAAATATTCATCTTTAGCTGAAGCTATTCGAGGACTTTGGAAATGACAGTGTGTTGTAATGGTCAAGAACATAGGCTATGCAGTTGGATGGCTTTTTATCTAACTGGTCACCTTAGACAAACTATTCAATCTCTGTGCATTATTTCCATATGTAAAATAGGATAGTACTTACAGAGCTGCAAGGCTATACATATTTATAGACACAATTGGTATGCTTACTATATGCCAAGTACTATTTTATCAATGTACATGTACATAAACTCTTGATATGGGAAGCCTTAAAAAAATGATATCTCACTATATAGGGTCAGGTACCATGCATAGGATCAGATTTCACACAAGCTATCCTGATTCAGGTGGACAGGGGGAGAAGGGAGGCACAGTGCATTTTGGAAAAGTTTCCTGGCTCCCAAAGTTTTTCTGTATTCTTCTGAGTCATCCCTGCCTGCCCAATAATATTAGTACATCTGGCCTTGATTCTTCACCACACCCTCCCCACCTATGAAATATTCATTACCCAACTTATATTCTCTTCTATCTCTGTTCTTCACAAGAGCTGCTAATATCCTGCTAAAGACTAATCCTGACCATGGTGACTTTGGTGGCAATATGAACTTGGGAATCGGTCATCTTACCTATATGGGTGGGGTCTAAGCCACCCTGTATCTTTCCACTTCCTTTGAACTTCTGAGTTGCACTGAGTCTTCTTTTCACCTTTCTACCTAGCACATTTGTTTTTTACTCCACAATTTCATTTCTCACATATGTGGCAGGCCACATGACTGTAATTTACTAAAATTTATCTGTAATAATCTGGCAATAATTAACTTGGTTTATGGGGACTAATCTAGCTGTTAACCAATTGAAGTAGCAATAATCTATCTTTTGTAAAATAGCTTTATAGAATTCAAAAGAAATACAGTTGAGGTCCAGATGCTGAGTTTTTTCAATTGCATTTGTTTTTTTTAACAGTGACCATAACTATAAATTTCACAGCTGTGAACTTTTAAAATTAGATTGACTCAACATCATTTATGTCCTTCTTTATTAAATAAGTGGGATTCATAACCTTACACAAAATGGATTTTATGTTAAATTGTACTTTTATGACTGCATTTTGTGACAATTATTTGAATCAAAAAACTGGTAAAATCCATGTCTATTTATTTTACCAAAGCTTGGCTTTATTTTTTGTTCTCTCTGCCAGCCTAAAGAACCCTCACAAGTTAATTATAGTAATGATTTGTTATATGTAATATAGAGGTCCAGTGCACAGATTCATGCACCAGTGGGGTCCCTCGGCCTGGCCTGCAGGGATCAGGTTGAAACCAATCTCTGGGTCCGGGGTGCAGGTGAAGCAGATTCGGGGCAACAGTGCCCAGCAGCAACCTAACCCATGGCTGATTCCCTGAGGAATCTGGCTCCCTCCTCTACTGGTTGGAGCGTCTGCCCCCTGGTGGTCATTGCACATCATAGCTACCAGGCAAACAGTTGCTTAGGCTTTTATATATAGAGACTAGAGGCCTGGTGCACGAAATTCATGCACATGTGTGTGTGTGTGTGTGTGTGTGTGTGTCCCTCAGCCCAGCCTGCACCCTCTCCAGTCTGGGACCCCTCCAGGACTGCTGGCTCCCAACTGCTCACCTTCCTGCCTGATTGCCCTTAATCGCTTCTGCCTGCCAGCCTGATCACCCCCTAATCACTCCACTGCCAGCCTGATCGACACCTAACTGCGCCCCTGCCGGCCCGGTCACCCCTAACTGCCCTCTCCTGCCGGCCTGATTGCCCCCAACTGCCCTCCCTTTCAGGCCTAGTCCCCTCCCAACTTCCCTCTCCTGCCAGCCATTTTGTGGCAGCCATCTTGTGTCCACATGGAGGTGGCCATCTTGTGTTGGAGTAATGGTCAATTTGCATATTACCGCTTTATTAGCTAGGACTAGTGGCCCAGTGCATGAAATTTGTGTACGGAGGGGGGGGTGTCCCTCAGCCCAGCCTGCACCCTGTTTAATCTGGGACCCCTCAAAGAATGTCCTACTGCTGGTTTACAGGGACCGGGCCTAAACTGGCAGTCAGACATCCCTCTCACAATCCAGGACTGCTGGCTTCTAACCACTCACCTGCCTGCCTGCCTGATTGCCCCTAACCACTCTGCCTGCTGGCCTGCTCGCCCCCAAATGACCCTCCCCGCCAGCCTGATCACCTCCAACTGCCCCCCTTGCTGCCTGCTTGACACCACCTTCCCTCCCCACTGGTCTGCTTGCCCCCAATTGCCCCCTGCTGGATAGCTCACTCCAAATTGCCCCCCCCCTACTGTCCTGATCACCTCCAACTGACCCCCACTGATGGCCTGCTTGCTCCCAACTGGTCCCCCTGCTGGTCTGCTTACCCACAACGGCCCAGCCTTCCACCAGCCTGTTCACCCACAACTGCCCTCCCCTCTTGGCCTCTAACTGCCTCTACCTCAGCCCTGCCACCATGGCTTTGTCCAGAAGAACGTCTGGAAGGTCTCCTGGAAGGTCTCCCAGTCTAATTAGCATATTACTCTTTTATTAGTATAGATAGAGGCCTGGTGCACGGTGGGGGCCAGCTGGTTTGACCTGAAGGGTGTCCCGGATCAGGGTGGGGGTCTCGCTGGGGTGCCTGGCCAGCCTGGGTGAGGGGCTGATGGCTGTTCGCAGGTTGGTCAAGCCCCCCCAGTGGGGCCCTCACCCCATGGGGGTGTGGCCAGCCTGGGTGAGGGGCTGAGGGCTGTTTTCTGGCTGGCCACACCCCCTTCAGGCTGGGGGTCCCCACTGGGTTGCCTGGCCAGCCTGGGTGAGGGGCTAATGGCTGTTTGCAGGCTGGTCAAGCCCCCCAGCGGGGACCCTCATCCCATGATGAGGGGCTGATGGCCGTTTTCAGGCTACTCACACCCCCTTCGGGGGGGGGGTGGTGTCCTGCTGGGGTGCCTGGCCAGCCTGGGTGAGGGTCTGATGGCCGTTTTCAGGCTGGCTACACCTCCTGGTGACCCAAGCTCCCATCATTTTTTTTTTTTTTTTTTCCCCAGCCCCTCCTTGAGCAGAGGCCAGGGCAGCCTGGAAGGAGGTATCTGAAATTTTTTTATCTTCTATAATTGATACTTTGTAGCCTTGAGCGGAGCCCAGGGCAGGCCGGAAGCTTGGCTTCCTCCATCGCCGGGGGCAACCCAAGCCTCCTGCTCTCTCCAGCTCCTGGCTGCTGTCATCTTAGTTGGGTTAATTTGCATACTTGCTCCTGTTTGGCTGGTGGGTGTAGTGGATTGGCGGAGTGATGGTTAATTTGCATGTTTCTCTTTTATTAGTGTAGATGATAGGAACTTAAAATTCATCTGATAATTCTTTTTTTTTTTTTTTTTTAATGCTGGCTCCTTCTCATTTATTTTCCACTTAGTGCAAGGCACATGGTTAGGGGGTGTTAGGCAGGCTTGCATGTGGCTTGAGTAGTAAAGAGTGGGCCTCTCTCAACTTCCTTTTTGGTGTTTTGCTGTTTTGATATAAAAGAACCCAACTGCTGCTGCTTGCTGCAGCCAGCCTAGTGTACGCCCTGATTAAATAGCCAGGTATTGCAAGGTAGGGTGAGAGGAAGGAGGATGGATGAGGAGGGGGAGGGGCTCCAAGAGCCTAGCGCCTCTGGAAGTCTGGTGGCTGGTGGTGGCCACTCAGGTGGAAATGGACGGGACCTGCCGATGGAGGAAGGGACTGTGGAAGATTGGCTGGCCATGGGAAGTTGGGTGTGGGAGTGCACTGACCACCGGGGGCAGCTCCTGCGTTGAGCATCTGCACTGACAGTGGTCAGTGCACGTCATAGTGACTGGATGACCGGTTGTTTGGTCATAACGGTTGCTTAGGCTTTTATATATAGAGATGAAGTTTGGTAATTATAGATGAGCACGTTGATGATGTTATTCTTCAAATATTAAAATAATGAGAGTGATTTATACATTTGTTTTTAAATTCCTAATTTCATTTCAAGCAGTTCACACATAAATTTCTTGCCAAACATTTTGACATCTTCCTCCTTCCCCAACAAAATTGTTTTCCTATTTGTGTTAATGTGGCACTTTGTAGGCATTTTGTAGCACTTTTTTTTTTTTTTTACCAGATGCTTTCATAGTTAATGGCCTGAATTTAACTATTTAATAAGCCTTGGGTTATTTAATTTTATCTAATGGTATTCTTGGGTATTTCTGTATGTACAGTGTATACTGCAGAGTCTGGCATGATGTTAATTATGTTGTGATGGAAATATGGAATGTAGCATTTGAAATACGTAACTCTTATTTTGTCAAAATGACTTGTCAGTGTTAATGTTTTAAATGATGTAGAATATGGTAATTTTCTCACTTTTATTCCTTAATCTCAATAGGACTATACAGGCTCCAACCCAAGTTCCAGTGGTCGTGTCTCCTGGGAATCAGCATTTGCATACAGTAACACTCCAGACAGTGCCAATCACAACAGTTATAGCCAGCACAGATCCATCGTCAGGTGCTGGGTCTCAGAAATTTATTTTACAAGCCATTCCATCATCACAGCCCATGACAGTACTGAAAGAAAATGTTGTGTTACAGTCTCAGAAGCCGGGCTCTCCTCCTTCGATTGTCTTGAGCCCTGCCCATGTACAGCAGGTTCTTACTAGTAATGTCCAGTCTATTTGCAATGGAACCGTCAGCATGGCTTCATCTCCATCCTTCAGTGCTACACCCGTGGTGACATTTTCTCCTCGCAGTTCACAGCTGGTTGCCCACCCACCTGGCACTGTAATCACTTCAGTTATCAAAGCTCAAGACACAAAAACTCTTACCCAGGAAGTAGAGAAGAAGGAGGTCGAAGATGATTTGAAAGAAGACACTGAGGAAACCGATCAGCAGCCACAGCCTTACGTGATGGTGGTTTCCAATTCCAATGGACTTACTTCTCAGGTAGCTATGAAACAAAATGAACTGCTGGAACCCAACTCTTTTTAATTAAAATTCCAAAAGAATTATGAATGATTGTTTTTTAATTTAACATTTCCAATTGAATGCAAACTATCTGATTCTAAGACGAAATTATAAAGATGTTCCTTTTTGTAGTTTTTAAAAATAATAAGAGTTAGTCTTGACTTTGTTAGATGAGGGAGGAAAACCAAAGTGTTTCTCTTTGTTCGCCAAATGTTTCAGAATTCAGTTGTGAAGGAACAGGCATTTTATACTATGAAGATATTCTTTTGAGATTTTTTTTCAGTTGTTATATCTTAAGCATTTTTAAAGTTGCTTTTAAAATTTTACAATGTCTGATCTTTTCTGATTCTGTTGTAAATACAGTACTTAAATAGAAGACATCAGGAAACTTATATAGGAACTCTTTTCATTCCACTTGTGTAAGTTAAGTCTTGACTCTTTCAAATGCAAGACACCTATTTTATGCTTTGTTAAAATTATGATTTCACTAGATTGACTTTTAGTTGGCTGCACAGTATATTGAACTATGAATGTAAAATATAACATTAAAATTGAAATATGCCCATGATGATGGCTGAACCTGTTTCAGAAGCAGGGTAGTATGAAAGCATCAATCTAAGAGTGGCTCTCCTAACTAGTTTTATAACCTTGGGCAAGCCACTGTTCTTTCTGGGCTTCCGTTCTCTGATGAAAGTAAGGAATACATTTGGATTAGACTAGATTGTCTTCAATTTCCTTTATAGTTCTAAATTTATGATTCCAACTCCTATATTTTAGAATTATATCGATTAAAACATCAGCTTATTTCCTAATGTAAGTATAGCAAAAATATTGCAGAAAAATAAATGGCCCTAAAAATTAAATTTTCTACTATCTGTAAGATTACTATGAACCTGAATTCTTCATGAACTCTTTAGGCCCCTGTGCACTGTGGCCCATTAGTAAACATACATTGCTAAGTGCTAACTGATACACTGCTGTTCTGAGAGAGTCTAGACTCTTTCTTAAAAGCTCAGAAAACAACCAAGCATTGTGTTAATCTGTTTAAATGATCAGTTCCTATAAAAGCACAATTGCTTTATATTTTGGATCTTTTTAAAAATGAGTGTGTGGGGGGGAAATTGCATACAAAGATAATATATATATGTATATCTACGTTTCTGAAATAAATTTTAGATTACTTTTCAACTGTAAATAGTGTACATTTAATTTCACAAGAAAAATTGTTTTCTGCCTATTTTCTAGTATAGGAAAGATAAATTTTTGTAGATGAAAAAAATCATTTTTCTTTAGAGGTCTAATGTATGTTTTCATATTACAGAGTGACTTTGTATTTAAACAAAAATTTAAATTTTGGAATCCTCTAAACATTTTTGTATCTTCAATTGGTTTATTATTAAATAAATCATATGAAAATTCTCATGTTTTCAAGCAAATGTTTCTTAAGAACAAATATACAGAAAATGTTGCTAGTTATAGTGTTAGTAAATGCTCACGTAACAAACTCCATTAGTCAGAATTGCAGAATGTCATCCTCTCCTTTTTCCTTTCTGCCATGCCAAATGGCAGTTTCCAGACATCACAACAACTTTCCTAATTCTAGTTAGAAATTAGACTTTAATTAACAGAATATGAGAAACAGAAAATATAGGAAAATTTCAATCCTATACCTCTATATCCAGAAGTTACTTTCACTTATTTTCTCATGCCAGGTAATATTCTTCCAAATATCATTTTAAAAGGAGCATTCTTATCTTTGAAGAAGGATCTCAATGAACAAGCCATTCTGAGTTTTCCCAGTTTACTACCCTTCGCTCATGCCCTTTTCCTCTTTTCCCCCACAATTTTCCACTCTTCATCAAACTTAGTATAAAAACACTCGTGCTTAACCATTTCTTTGAGTCTTCGTTTCCTTATGAAGGTTCCCATGTCACATAAAACTTGTGTTAAATAAATTTGCATTCTTTTCATCTTTAATCGGTTCTTATCAATTTGATTTTTAGGCCCAGTTAGGGACATTAAGAAGGGTGAGGAAAAGTTTTTTCCTCCCCTGGAACTCTCTCTAGGCATCCATCCCTTAACATAATCTTGTCATACTGAACTCCTGAATAGGGGCATAGCTCATTCAGTACTTGGCCTTTGAATATCAAATCATTGATTCAATATGTATTTATTAAGGAGAAGCACTTGTGATGTTACTGTCACTATCCTTAATCTATAACCCTGCTGCTTTCCTCACTTTCCATTCATTCTTTAACCCTTTTTAGTATTGCATATGCCCTTACTATTACCCTGAAATTACTGTTGCAAAGGTCTCTAAATAGTAATCAATTTCCATATTGGTAGATTTCTATCCTTCTCTTCCTTGTTTTCTCTAGCATTTGACCTTTTATAACTCACTCTTCTTGAAACTCTTCACTTTAGTACCCAACTCTTTCCTGTCCTCCTCCTGCCTTCATAACTGTTCCTCTTGGGTTTATTGAGAGACATTTTCAAAGATTGGAGCTCCCTTTAATTTTATCGAATGGTCATTGTTCTTATTCTCTTTGCTTCACTTTGTCCCCTCCAGTCTATTCTCAATGCAACAGGAGTGCCGTTCCCTGAACACCCTAAGAAGCCATCTCTTCACAGTTTATTGGCTAGATGGGTCATATACCCCTTAAACCAACCGCTGGCCAAAGAAACAGGATTATCATAAATGACTTAGTCATACGTTGGGAAGATGGACAGCAAACAAAATTGGGGGTCCATCGTAAGGAATAAGGGTGGAGTGATACAACCTACTATCACCCATATACATCATTCTTCTATACATACTGGTACACTTTCAGAAATGTTCATGCCTATGGGAAACATGTATTTCCCAAAAGATCAGCCAAAGGCTCAATTACTTGATCCATTTTCATGACTAGGATCATCAAGGTGATGTGCAAGTCCTCTTTTTCAAATCAGCTATGGCTCCCTAGTTTATTGTCCTCCACAAACACATCTATCTAGTATGAGCACTAGGAAGAATACTTTCCAAGTCTTCTCAGCTTTAGAATACACTACTTGATGGTGTAAGTTTGATGCCCTGTTTCAGGGTCCCCATTTTCCTAGCATTGCGTTCTTAGTGCCTTCCATTCTGCCTCCACCTGGCTTATTATACTACCAGTTTGGGTTCTTAGTCATTAACAATAGTGATGGGTTCTGGTTTTCAGAATTTTATTAGAAGAATACTGTATAGCTCACAGAATAGACAAGAGGACTAGAATCAGGGTCAATCGGAGTCACAAAGCTAGAATCAATTGCAAAACTATCCTGCACAACTGGTCTGGAGAGGAAATCGTAGCCACTCTTGTCAAGCATTAAATACTGACTTTTGGCCCTGGCCAGTGTGACTCAGTTGGTTGGGCATCATCCTGTGCACAGAGAGTTTGCTGGTTTGATTCTAGGTCAGAACACATGCCCAGGTTTTGGGTTTGATTCCCAGTGGGGCGCATGCAAGAGGCAGCTGATCGATGTTCTGCTCTCACATCAATGTTTCTTCTCCCTCTCTAAAAAAACCAATAAACTATTCTTTAAAAATAAATAAATGAATACTGAGTCTTGTACCCCTTTCTCTACTGCAACAGGAATTTTATTTTTATGTAGAGAAAATTAACCACAGTCATTTTTGATGCATTGTGTCAATTAGCTACTAATTTATGTGATTGGCAGAATCTAGGTCAAGTGTCCAGGCCTTTAACTCTAAGGGAAGTTGAGAAAGCGAGTTCAACTTTTCAACTAGTTTGGCTTATTAGCTTCTATAGAAGAAGATGCTGCAGTGGGAACTAAAATTTAGGGAATTTTCCCCCAACATTGAAGGGGACTTAGATTCTTTGCTGCCTAAACAGAATGATCAATCTCCTCTGTAAGGGCAAATCCAGATTTTTGGGACCTGAATTTACACAATTTGGTGGTTGGGTGGGTAAAGAGGCCTTATTTAGGAAAAGCACAAAATTAGAATACCAAATTAGAGGGTTCGAATCAGTTTATGCAAATGAACAGCTCTAAGGCTGTACTTTTTAACTCCCTGTGCTCCCTCTATTTTCCATACCTCTGCATTTGCTGTTACTCTGCTTGGCACAGTTTATTTCATTCTATTTGGCTAACTCCTCCCTGTTCCTCAGGCCTCAGCTTAGACATTACTTCCTCTGAGAGCTTTCTCTGAGCTCTTAAAACCTTGCCACTGCTGTCATGAGCCCTTTAATTTCTCCCATTTGGGCACATATGACACACTAACTGCCTGCTGCTATGTGTCATTCCAACACTAGATTATAAAGAGCAAATGTTATACTCATTTTAGTGCCCTCAGTCCCAAGTGTAATATCTGTACATAGGTGCTCAATACTCATGAAATATGTAACTATACTACATACTAGAGGCACGGTGCATGAATTCGTGCATGGGTGGGGTCTGGCCAGCCCCCCCTGATCAGGCCTGGCTGGCCAGGGGGAGGGGATATGGAAGGTTGGCCGCTGGCCCCACCCTCTGGTTGAACTCCTGGTTGAGGGGACAATTTACATATTAGCATTTTATTATATAGGGTTCTCTTTGCCTATTTTCATGCTCGTGTTCTCATATTGCTAAATACTATCTGTATTATGCTGAGCCAGCTCAGTCAAGGGTTCCACAAGCCTGAGTGAGGGCGGTGAAGGAATGAAGAAATGACAAAGAGAATAAGCTGGGTCCAGGTGGATCTTCCTGTGCCTGGCTGAGGCCACAGAGAGAGATCCAGAGGCAAGCTGAGCCTTTATTTTATAGCCAAAGGTAAACAAGGTAGTGGTCACCGTAGTTACAATGTTCTTGTGAGCTTCACTTGTTTTGGCAGCACTTGCTGCATCTCCCTCAGCCCATTAGCTTCCCAGATAAGATCTAGGGAGCATCATAAGGCCAAGCCTAATTATGCTAAGAGGACTGTGCCCTCTAAGCTGGGACTTGTTTGTGGCTTTGCCAACAGGTCAGTCCGAGGCTTAACCCTATACCTGCGCCCTACACTGTATGCTGATGATTATTATCAACTTTTA